TCCGAATGAGTCGCAGAACGAGTGAGGGACGGAGCTCAAAGGATTCTCATACATTTTTAACCCGGATCTATCCACCACGTCGGGAAGAGCTTTCTCAGTCTGCCAGAGCCCACTGAGCTCTACTTGCAGCAGAAGGGACGTTTTCAGAATTAGTTGTGATCAGTGTTCCCTCTAAGCTGAGTTAGTGTGAGCCAGCTCACAGTTTATTAGCCTCCAGCTCACACATTTTTGTCTTAGCTCAGGAAGGATGGCTTCAGAGCAAACTAATTTATGCAGTGGCCAAATGGCTCGCTCACAACTCTAATGCCAGTAGCTCACCAAGTAGAATTTTTGCTCACAAGACTCCACAGCTTAGAGGGAGCATTGGTTGTGATGGATCGCCATGACAGAGGTAGCTCAAAAGCTCCTGAGGTCCGGCCTTGATGGGCGGGGCGGGGTGGGGAGAACAGATCTTGGTACCCTTGCGAGTACAAAGGCTTTTTTTCATTTAAGGTAATAGTCACAGGCCAATGGCCCACCTAGTCCAACACTCTGTGTCACACAGTGGCACCTGGGTTTGACCACTGTGTGACTCAGAATGTTGGACTAGATGGGCCATTGGTTTGACCTAACATAGGTTCTTTTATGTTCTTAGGTAATACTAAATCATATACCTTGAGGCATATGTCCTCTTTTAAATTAAGATTTTATTAATTTTTTCCAAAGCATAACAGAGTATTCTTGGAGATGTTTTCATACATTCAGAGCAGTTCAGAACAAAAGACAAAACATAACGTACACAAACCTTGTTTTAACCATCTATAAATCTTCCAAGTAGGAGCGACTGGCAAAGGGAGTGGCATGTATGAGGTTTATAAAATTACAATCGTGTGGATATAGAAACAATTCGGGGAGCTGGATCGTGAGTGTGTGCAGGGGTGGCAAAAGATTGTCCCCATTAGGCTCAAACACTTTATGGAAATCACTACCAGAGAATGTGGTTTACATCGCTTTCCCAAAGATAAATACATGGAAAGCTGTTACTCTCAGCGGCTACTGCCCATGATAGCTAAATGGAACCTCCATATAAAGAAACAATATACCTCAGAATAAGAATGTTAAAACATAAGAGATGCCCCCTGGATCAGACCAGCGGTCCCTCTATTCCAGCTTCGTATTTCACAGAGTGGCCAACCACTTGCCCTGGAATGCGGACAAAGAGGGCACTGAGACCCTCACCAGGGTCTTCCCTGACGTTGCCTCCTAACGTTGGAGTTCAGAGGTTTACTGCCACTGAACGTGGAAGTTCCCTTTTATCACCATGGTTCGATCTGTCCTCTATGAATCTAATCCCGTTTTCGTGCTGGTAGCTATCACTATGTCCACCCAGAGTGAATCCCACAGTCTAACAACTGGTTGAGTGAGTACCAGATGACTACGAAGGCAAATCGTAAAAGACGCCCACCACCTGCGGGCCGGCTACAGAGTCTCCAGAGGCAACTTGTTGGCCGCTAACAAAATGTTCGAAGGTCTTGATAGACTTTGCTCTGCTTTGGTTCTTTTAATTCCGCGGTCGGCTAGATATACAGGTTTTGTAAACCAGGGGCTCAGGCCCATTTGAATAGTGTTACAGAAAGATTTCCTGGGACAGGCCACTCTCCAGGGTTTGGTGTCAGAGGACCATAGGACAGGGCTGTTTGGAAACGTGGGCATGGCAGGGTTTGCCAGAAGGAACCAAAGCAAGCTCTTTCTTTCTTTCTTTCTTTCTTTCTTTCTTTCTTTCTTTCTTTCTTTCTTTCTTTCTTTCTTTCTTTCTTTCTTTCTTTCTTTCTCACGCAACCACTCTCTTGGCAGTCCACAAACTATGCAAAGCTAAATTATTCAGGAGGGCATTCTTACACAGGCAACGGGGGCTATGCTATAATGGAGTGGCTCAGGAAAGTGCTGTGTGTTGCTGTATATATTATCCTTCTGCATCGTTTAACCTGTGGTGTTAATCCTTACTTTTTGTTTCAGTTTTGTTCCAGATTTCTGCTTGGTTTTAGATTCCTGCAATCCTAATCTTGTGACGTTGCTTACTGGGTATCCCATCCTGTTGATTGTATTGGTTTACACTGTGTAAACCGCCTTATGTCTCAGTGAGAAAGGCAGAGTATAAGTAACTTGAATGAATGAAGAATGAGCAAATAAATAAATGCCAGAAAGTGATGATCTATTATTGAATGCGGAGTAGCTGCAACCTTTGCACTTTTCTTGCCATTCCTTTAAAAAACCTGAGAGCCAATGGACGATTATACACACATACATACATACACACACGCGTGCGCACACACAATATGATGCATTACGCACACACACACTCCCTCCCAACTCTCAGCTAGGAAGACTGCCATTGACGTTTGAACTGTTTAGGTTCCGTTTGATTGTTTCCTTCATTTGGACCTATGGTTTTAAGACACTAGCAGAGATAAGCAAAGCCACTGTGTTGGTTTGGAAATACAAGACGAATATGGAGAGACCAGGGACTTCACAGAGACACCGTGAGGAGAAATTCCTTTATCCGTCCTCGGCTCAGTGCTGTTCTGTTTAGAGCTACAGTTTAGAGCTCTTCCTCCTGCGCACCAGGTAAAAACCACTTCTAAATGTCATTTGTGAACACGGCCCTACCACAGTTAGCCATCTGGGCAGGCACAGTTACTTGAAACTGAGTCCCGCTAAGATTTAGTGGGGTGTGTGTTCACGACTGCAGCCTTCCAACTCTTTGGTTCCAATGGGATTTATTTCGGCACGTGTTTAGTTCTCCCTCACTGAAACCAGTGGGGCTGCTTATGAAGGACTGAATTGGGGGGGGGGGGATCGTGCCCATTATTTAGTATTACCTGCCCTCCACGAGTTCTCAAGAGGGGGGCGGACTACAAATGTGAACCCCCAGCAACAAGTAGAACAAAGTCTGAGTCCAGGGGCACCTTTAAGACCAACGACGTTTTATTCACACACACGTCCTTAGATACATTGGGGGAAAACAAGCAAGCAAATGAACGGTCCTTTCCCAAGCATTAGCTTCTCGACTGTCTCCTGTTCAATTCTGGGTCAGGTCTGCTTTAAACATAAAGCTAGCTTGCCCTGGGTTTTTTGGTGTGTGCGCGTGGGCGTGTTTTTAAAGGTGATGAGAAGAACCGAGAGGGGCAAACACATAATCCGATCCCGCGATCCACAGAATCCCGCCGCCACTGCCACCGAAGCGCTTTTACTCCAAAGAGAGTCCTGCGCACTCCAGCTGCAAAGCCTTCGGCTGCCATCCCCGAACATGTTTATTTGGAAGCAAGCCCCCTCGAACCCTGTGCGATTTCCGAAGCAGCCTGCCTAGGATCGGGCTGTCTCAGCAGTATTGCCCGAGAGCTCAAAAGCTACCTGCGCAAGATACATTTCCGATGGGTCCTGCCCCAGATTGCCCCTGAATGTGGATTTCCGTTGCGGGAGTTGGCAAAATGCTTAACCCCCCCCCCCTTCTGGCGGCCTGGTACTGAATTATTTGGGATGGGTCTCTTCCCAGAGGCTGCCGAGGGACACCTTAAGAAGATTCCAAACTTTTCAGCCTTGTTAGCGAGAAAGGACCCGTTGAACTCAGCGGGACTTACATCTGAGCAAGAGTGATGTGGATCGGACAGCGTGGGCGGGGCATTCCGGGCGATTCCAGGCAATTCTTTCCAAGCAGGAGCAATAGAGACTGGCTTGGGTTTGTGGCTAGGCGAAAGGGTCTGTCTTTGGGGACGCTTTTTAATGGCCAGTAAAGGTGTCTGGATCGGGCTTTGCCTCCTCGAAAATAAGCCAGGTTCTCAGAGCGCCTTGCCCTTTCTCCGGACCCAGGCGGCTCCTGTTAGGTGAGGCCTGCATTCCTGGTATTTGAAGCCAGTTCCCTGGAACTCAGGGGGACTTGGAACGGGCATGGGGCTGAGGAGGAGACGCGCCCTCTTTGAAGGGGAAAGGAGTCTTGCAAGGATGACTGCTGGCTTGATGCTAAGACGCAGCCCGGTCTCGGCCATATCTCCTCGGGATTCAGCCCCATGGATTCAAAGGCAACTGACCCCCAAGTCAGTGCGCAGGGGGTTGAGGCCAGGCCGGTTGTTCTCTGCACGTCTGCTGGGCAGACTGGAGCACCACGGGGACACCGTGGGGAAAGCATGCTTAGGTTGTCGTGCGATCCCCTACTTGGGGGAGTAGACTTCCAGAACGCCGCCAGGTTTACTTCCAAGCAAATTCAGGAGGACTGCCCGAAGGATTGAGTTGATCCATGTTGTTATCAGGACTTGGGCAGAAGGAGGGGAGGGACGACAAAATTCTCCTGGAGGCCCCGGGACCTGGAGTTTCTATCCGATTTGTGACGGGACTCGAGGAGCTCGCTGTGGCTCTGCGGGGTCACGCCGGGGCCCAATTTTCTGATCCTCCTCCTCTTCCTCTTTTCTCCTTCTTCTTCTGTCCCCACAGTTTTGGGGCGCCCCCCCCCCGATCCGCATCGCAAGCCAGAAGCCGATGCCAGCCAAGGAAGGCAGCGCGTCGGAGGGGCCGAGGCGTGCCGGGAGGGTCCGGCGGGGTGGGCGCCGGCGCAGCTCTTCCCGGCCGCCGCGCCAGGTCTCCCCCTCCCCTCCCCTCCC